AAGGAAAAAATAGGTCAAGTGGTTGGGCCAGTCACTGTGTCTTGAAAGAGGGGAACAGGAAAGAACTTGGAAACCGCACAATGCCACAATGATTAAAAATGTGCTTATATTTGGGATGTTATTAAATAACTTAATTGTTTGTTTGTGCCTTTAATACGTCCATAAAAGAAGTCAGTGGATTTTGTACTGTTCTGTGTACTAAAGTTTTGTAGACAGTGCTGAGTCTATGCCTTGAGAAACAATTATGTGTGAAAATTTCAATATCACAAAGGGACTTTTATACCTTATAGCAACTATTTTATACTTTCTTCTGTAAAGGATAAGCACTAAATGATACTGAATTTTGCTCCTAACTGTTATTTGTGCTATTAAAAATGTTGTACTCTTAGAACAAGGTCAAAGTGACAAAGTCATATCTGATAAAGAAAAACAAGTGTGAGGCAATCTTTGTCTTTTAGGCTTGTTTTGAGGAATAGTGAGGAATAATGCTCCCAGATCTTGTTTGATTGAAGTGGAATTTCATTGAACAACTGTATGTCCTTCTTAAACCAGTGGTAATCAAAGGTTGTTTGAAGGGGAACCTCCTCTACAAAATTGAACTGCAGAAAGAATCCTTTGCACTTCTCTGCAAAACAGCCAATTCCTGAGAGCTTTCTTCTGTGTGCAGTAGAAGTTAGATGATTTGGCTTTGATCCTTGCATATTATGGATTGAATATATTCCAGCTTTTTTAGCTCTAGCAGTAAGGAATCATGAGGAAAAAAACACCCAACCAAGCCCCAAACTATTATATAATACATATAGATAACCTTATATATTCTTTCTTAACATATGCATTAAAAAGGCGATCTGTACCCCTGTTTCCCTGGGTGTTCTTTTTTTCCATATTTGTTTAAATAAATTTGCTTAGTATCAGCAGCTAATAATGCTACCAGATAGATTGATTGATGGGTATAAGAGAAACGAAGTTCAATTTTTCAGTTAAATAGAATTATTAGAATATTAACAGGATGTTAGAATACAACAGTATATCTTAAAACTGGAAAAATCATGTTCTGAACCTCACTTGGCTTACAGATGGAATAATTTTTTTTTCTTTTCCAATTTATTAATTTTGTTGTTTGTTTAGGTAGTTTTATTGTTTAAAATTGATTGTTTTCATGTAATGCTTTCCCTAACAGAGGTTCAGTCAGTTCTCTGTCAGCTACTTGAAACCGTAGAGCCAGCACAAAAATATGCAAATAACTTCACTAAAAAGCTGGTCTGCGTGCTTCAGAAATTGCTTGTACTGGAGAAGGTAGGATTATCACACTTAGTAGTAGATTTATGTGTTTGGAGTAATAGAAAATGATTTGAATTTAATGAAAAAAGAAAAAAAAAGATTGGAAATTCACATACTTGAGCACTGATGAGAACTCCTGGTACCAGAAAGGTGGATTGTTCTTGTGTGACCCAGATCCTGATCTGTTTCTCAGATCGTGTGACTTCCTGAGAGTAACTTGATTCTAAACCACACCTCCTGCTTTCTAGCTTTTAAAAATGAGTGCTACAACCAGCCAAAAGATTGATTTACATTTAGAATGGCATATAGCTCTGATCACAGTCACACCCAGAAAAGGCTGAGTCCTTGGGACAAGAAAGAACTGTTAGTGTAATTAAGCTGAAATTACCTTCTTAAAAGGGAATGAAAGAATTTGGCAAGTAAGACCTAGGAAGAATAACAGAAGTCTCTATTGGGTTTGAGAAACATCTGAAAATAAATATATCTGAGAGATAAACTTCATAACAAGTCTTGTTTGAAAATCAGAGGATGAGGTCTAGTCTCAGTAATTGGGAGAAAGAAACTCAGTGATTCAAGATGATGTTTTATATATTTATGTAAGAAGACTGTATAAGATTATAAGGTTGATCCTCGAGTCAGAAATTAAAAATAAACATATGAGATTTCATGGTAATAGAATAACAGAAATCTCTGAGAAAGGGGTAGAACAGACAAGAAAATACTTGATTGTTATTTGTCGTAAAGCTTCCAAGTTTACAAATTCTGTTCCTTAGGTATCCTGTTCAGATCAGAAGGGAATATTTTTTATTTTTATTTTTTTCTCTTCTTGGTGCATAGTTTATCTTCTTTGAAGCAGAGACTATTTGCCATTCACTAGAGGTGGGATTTTGAGTGGCGTCTGATTGTTTCTGTGTATTAGAAAAGTAGCCCTGGCCTGGCATAAGGATCTAGTGTCTGTGTTCAAAGTTAAATCAATTTGCCCCAGACAAATACAAAGGGAAGGGAGAAGTGTTTCCTTTTTTCTCCCCTCTCCTGCACCTCTGTGTATTCCTGAGGTGATGTAGGCATTTTCATCTAACATGTAGTTACAGGCACTTAAAATGGGGCATCCTGGAACTCTCTTATCTTGCTGTTGTGCGTTCAAGTGTTGCATCTTTTTAAAATTCAACAGAAATTACAAGGGAAATGCTGATGAAATGTTTTGGACTTGGTTTTGAATGGGCTCTTGCAATGCAGGAGAGTGGTTAAATACTGCAGATGGTATTGAATAAGGATATATTTTTTTTTTAATAAATAGATTAATTTTTCTAAAAAAAATTGTAGTGGCTAGTCCATATTCACCCAGCAATTCAGTCAGAACTGGGCATGTAACCTAAATTTCCGATCTGCAAGGTCACTTCATATCTTTATTTCCATAAAGATCTCTGCAAGAGGAGCAGATTTATCTGGAAGATACCACTGTCTAATTAGTGATATTTGTAAATACTGTTGAGGTGATTGAACAACAAAAGCGAAGATTTTTTCAAATAATTTTAGCTTCTACATTATAAATAGAATTTTCAGGGATTTATTAACAATACCAGGCTGGAAAATTGCAAAACCTTGATAGTTTTAAAGTTTTGAATGTCTCGGAGTAGGCTGTTTTAAGATAATCACAACTTATGCAAAATGACTGTCTATTCCAGCACCTTTTATGGAACTGTGGAAAAAAGCCCCAAAGAGCTATAGTTCTTTTCTCTTAGTTATAGATGTATGGATTGACAAGAAAATTTGCTATTTTCATGCATCCTGATTACAGTATAGTATTTGTTGCTTCTTTGTGAGTTAGTCTGAGCAGCCTGTGGGCTACAAGACAGTACTCTAAAATAAGGGCATAGTTGGTTGCAAAACAGAACTTGTAACTCAGATTAAAATTTAGCTGTCATACAGAGAGCATGAGGTAGAGCTATGAATGTCTTGTTCAACCTAGGATGGGTTGTTTTGTGTCAAATCAACTCCACCTATTGCACTGTTTTATAATTTATTTATTTAATTATTTTTAATTAAACATCAGCAGTATGTGGACAAATTTTCCTCCAGCAGCAGTATAAACTACTTTGGAACTTTTTGGATTTTTTCCTCCTCTGCTTTTTCAACAGCTTTTGAGTAGTACTACTTCATTCCAATGGTAAATTAGTGTGGAAAAACGACCTAGATATTCTTGCTTTCTTTTTATTGTTCTGTGTGGTTTTTATGTACTTTAGGTTACCACAGTTTAAAATTTTGGGTAGTTCTTGTAGATCATGATGATTTTCCGAGCCTGGTAGGACTGGAAAGTCTTTTTATACTGCTTTCAATTTTATTGCTTACAAATAAATCAGCTTCTGAATTTAATAATAGTTCATTTCATTTTGTGAAATGTAAATGTTTCCACTTCATGTTTACCATGAGCCAATCTGTCTAAATCTGTTTTTCCATACTCACATAACGTACTGTCTTCTACTTGTTAAGGAAGTTGCAAATATGAACTTATAGGAAGATACTTCATAATGCTTTATACAAAAGTAAAAGTAACTATCGTTCTAGACCATACTCTGATGGGTTCACTGTAGGGGTAGCTCTTGGAACAGAGGGCTCTGTATTTCATTCTGCCTGGCTTCTTGACTTACCTTCAGCTGAAAGCTTCACCTTTCCATTTTTGTGAAGTGGGCAGTCTAACTGATTTGATGAGAGGTACAATAAAAGAACTAGTTTATTTTTTCTGGAAAGGTAAAACCCTGGTTTAGTTTTTTATACATGGAGTAACAATGTTGTATTTTTTTTATTTGAATGTCTGAGATACTTTATCACAGGAAAAGCTATAACCTTTTTATTGAGTGCTGCCTTAGCTGAAGTATACCAAAACTGTCAATCTAAAATAGAAATGAAAATAGGCTATCTCCCTCTTTTCCACAGGCATTCCATTTGTGGAACTTCATGGGCTCTGACTTTGTAGGTGCTAATTATTTTAAATAATTTATTACATGAAAAAGAAAACACAGTTTTTTTTTTTTTTTTTTTAAATTACTGTTGCTGCTTTTGAGAGATTTAGAGTTGCCACTTCACCTTCTTCATTTAATGGTACAGCTTTTGAAGCTTATTTTTGAAATATCAAATCAATTATAATTCAAAAATAAGACTTATTTGGCAGGATTCTCATTGTGGTAAAAGTCAGTTATCTGAAGCATTTATCATTTTCTTTTCTTCGCTCCTATTCCCGGTACTATTGTTGCTTTAATTGGTTTCCTATTTATTTTTCTTTCCTGCTTTTATTCCTTCCCTTGAAATCAGGTTCACAAATAAGCTTTTTCAACAGCCAATTTATTGGTGTTTCAGAGTCTGATATGTGCAGCTTTTGATTGCTTTTCTGTTATAAATGACTGGGAATCAACACTTAGTTCAGTAGTGTGCTGACATTCTGAATTAGACAACTGTCACAAAATTATGCAGTAACTCCATGCCTTGATAACCCAAAAGTAAGGTTTTGTTTAAAACAAAAGATGTGTAGATGTAGCTCTTAAGGACATGGTTTAGTGGTGGACTTGGCAGCGGTAGGTTTACAACTGGACTTGCTGATCTTTGAGGTCTTTTCCGAACTGGTTCTGTGATAAAAACTAATGATCTGCTTTTCCTTTTCCTTTTCTACTTTCAGAGAACTACCTATGCATCAAAATGGAAATGATGAAGAAGAATCCCCAAATGTATTAATTTGAACAATAATTTTTGTCCTAAAGTAAGTACTTCTTGTTCTTTGTGATGTTGGGTCCACAATTGAAAACTGCTTTTCTGTTGATAAATCCTTGTCAGTTGAATAAAGCAAACTTTGCAAAACAGAGTCACCTCCACTTTTGTGTCAGATCACTGACTAAATTGAGTCAGTCATCTCTTTCACCTTTTGTTTCTCCTTACACCAATTTTTTCCCCTTCCCTTCCTTGCCTTTCATCTCTAAAAAAACCCCACAAATCTATCAAAGCATTTTTAATGTATCCTTCATCTTAGGTACAAAGGCCTTGTTTCTTTGGCAGTATTTTTGAACCTTTTCACCTGTATTGCAGATATTACATGTATTTTTCAAAGATATACCATACTTCTGTAGAAACTGGGCACAGGCCCTATTCCATGAAGTTTCTGTGAGAGTTATAAGTTGTGGCTGGAAAGTATTGTGTGCTCTGGGACATCCCAGATCCAGTGCTAGATTTTTCTCGTATGGTGACAAGTATTAGAAAGTTAGTACTTCATATTCTTACGGTTTTGAAGGTGTGTGCAAGTACGATAATACTCATCTTTTAGGATACAATTTTTTATTTAAACAAAACTTAGCAGAAAGGCAACTCTCTTCATTTCGAGAAGTTGCTTAATGAAATGAACTTCACTGAAAGATGGATTCAGGTGTGAACTTGGAAACCAAGAGTGTTATGACATTTTTCTTTTTTTGATGCAACTGTAGAGAAGACTGTTATGATCAATATTCTTAATTATGATAAGGATTAGAAAGTTGTGAAAATGTCTTGTACTTTCACAACTGAACAAGAAGTTCAAGCAAATTTGTTGCAGATGAGATGCTTTTACAGTTCACCCAACTTCAGTACTGGTTGTCAAGTTGATGACATCTAAAGTACTCTCAATTATTATGATTTATTTATACAGTTATAACTCTAGAAGTACTATGTTAGTGTAAAAAAAAAAAAAAAAGTGGGATTTCAAATTATGTTCTAAGGACCTTGGGTCCTGAAAGTGAATGAAAGGAACAAATGAAGAATTGCATGACTTGTCAAAACCTCACTTCTAATCAGAATTGGCTGGTCCCTTGTACATGATGTTACATAATACAATAATTTGTCTGTATCTTGGCTTACAGTTTTGTAAACTAGAATTTGTTTGTTAGAGCCTACATGAATGCATATGTACTTATAGTTTTATACTTCATGTTGTGTTCACACTACCTTGATTTGTCTGTAAGCTGTGATGATGGTTGTATCTGCTGTAGAAATGCATTCATTCCTTTGGGAAGAACAAGGCACAATGATTGAGAACTGCATGAAACCTCTTCTTGCCTTTTCTGTTCCATCTGTATGGGAAGTTAATTAAAAGGATTTGTTCAGGTCTATAAATTGCAGTGCCTGCAGCATGAGTTAAGCCAGTGTTTTTGTATGCATTGCTCAACTCCTAAGTGAGATTGAGCAGTGGAGCAAAGCTGATTTAAGGTTAGTGACTAGGTAAGGTCTAGGTAGTGCTGGTAGGTTGAGACAGGTAACTGAGTATTAGGGTGAAGGTGAGACCTTTCCTGTGTTACTTGATTATGCAATCTATGGATTGTGTTGGATTTCTGCTTCCTGTCAGATTGCATAAAAAGTTGCATTTGGAATTACTTTTTGCTATCACAGTCTGGCTTGGAAAAACTGTATTTAATCCATCTACTAATTTAGTATTTTTTTCATGATTCTTTTGCATGATTCTACAATCACTTCCATGGTAGACTTTCCTGTTTTTTTCTAAATTGTATTTCACACTTAGTCTAATCCATTTCATTTCTAAACTGCAGTTTTGTAGTTTATTAAAAAAAGAAAGATCAACTGGATATTTTTTATTATATTCTAAAATACTTTCTTATCCTTTCTTGGGCATTATGTAAGTTAGATTAATCTGTGATAGGCTTTTGAAGATAAACTAATCTCCACAAAAGGCCTGTATATCTTGAGTTTTATTTATTGTAGGGGCACCTAAAATCTCGGATAGATATTCACTGTTTCTACATATCTAAATAGATCAGTGTAGGATTCCTGATGGAAAAGGAAAATACGTTTTCAGAAGGCTCTGTTGCTGAATTAGCCTTACCCTTTTATCAAGACCATTTAATCTGTGATTCTGGAGTATCTAGCTTGCTTGCTTGCTACAGATTTCCCCCCTGCCTGAGGATCAGCATTGTCTGTTTCTTGTTCTGAAACATTCTGTTTCAGTTCACTGTTCTATTCTGATAGTAATTTAGCTTGGATTCTTGCTTGAAAGATGGCTTATTGCTTCTCTGACTCTCTGAAATATATTTTTTATTAAGAGTGCTTTCTATATAAGTCAGTTTCGATGCGGCAGCACAAACAACAGTCTTTCATGTTTCTCTTTTCAAGAAAAGAGGTTGCTAATGTATCCATTGACTTGCGCGTTTACTGCAGTGAAAAATGATACTAGACTTGAGACACTGCAGAGAGGTTGGAAAATTGGATTAGAATTTTACATGAAGCAACACATTAGAATGGTCAGGGGAAAATGGGATACAAGCCATTAAGGGCAAACTTAAAATACTGGTTTTAAATTAAGGGCAAGTACAGGATAAGAAATGGCTGAGAGTTCTGAAGAAAAAGATTGAGGGTTAAGCACTGACCTTAAATCAACAGTATTGTGCACAAAAAATAGTTCTGAAAATGTAACATCACATCAGGATGAATAAATGGAAGTGCTGTCATAAAAAAACATGTAAATCTCTCTGCATAGCTTAGGAATGGAGTCACTGTATATCGGTCATTATGTCCAGTTTGGAACCATGCACTTAGTACATGCAAACAAAATTATCTTGCCAAATTGGAGAGTCCAGAAGAAAATAGTTTCCAAGATCATAACACTGGATCCAAGACCAAGAGAGGTTGGTAATATGAGGCTGATTTAATGCAGAGAATAAGTGTTGCTATTCTAGTTCTTTTGGAAGACCATAAAATCTAATGAGCTTACATTTTTACCAGTGGAGATTAATGCATTGTGGCTTATGAAACACTGCAATACACTGGGAAGAGCATATGTCTGTCTTTGGAAGTTCATAAAATGTAGTCAGACGCAAAAGCATCTGTGATATCCTGTTAGAGGAGAAGAGTGATCTAATAACCTTCTGATAATCTACTACCTTTTATGATTTAATGTCTAGTTTCTAGATATTTTGTTTTTGTGGGGTTTCTGGTCTTGTTTCTTTCCCCCCCCCTCTTAATTGTCTATCTCTTTTGTGAGTGGAGCGTAGGGAGAGCAGCTTTTTGCAAAAGATGCTGAGAAGCAGCATAGAATTCTTTCTACAGAAAGCAATGTTTTTTATTTTAAAATTTTTTTAGCTTAAATATTTTCTTCCGATGGAGGAAGTAACTTTTTATTTTGAGTGCCTATAATTTTAAACTTAAATAGTCCAAATCTAAAACACTGACTGAAAATTTGAAAAAAAAAATCAAATTTCAAATATCACCGAGAATCTATACCTTTTAAACTGTCTATGATTAGACTGTTACATTAAACTAAACCTATGTGTTGACAAATTGCTTAAGGGGACAAGATCAGAGCAAATAGCCAGGCAAGAAGTCTATTTTGTCTGCAATATTTCTTGCTTCGCAAGTTTTTGCAGTTAAATACATGAGGATCTATGTCACAGGGTTTTTTTTTCCTTTTTATGTTTAATATGAAGAAAGAAATTGTAGTTGTCATGGAGAGAAGAACAATGTGAGGGTAAATGCCAAGGCAACACCTACAATATAGAAGTATTCTGCAGTTGTTTTGGCTTTGCTCTTTTTTAATGATGTGATTATACTGTATTAATAATAAATTCTCTACTTTATTGTTTGAATTATGTTAAATAGTGGCTAATAAACACCTCTGAAATTGGAAGAACCTATTAGCATAGGAAAATCGTCTTTAATTCTTTTTGCACTTCAATCTTGGTGGGATTTTTTGGTTACTTTTATTCTTAAACAAATGTTGAAATAAACCAAATCTAAAAGGAATGAGAAAAGTTAGATGCTTGCCAGAATGTATAAAAACCCAATCAAGACAGAGGTTAATTATGGGATAATTCACTTGAAACTGATCCTAATGGTATAGTCTTTTAGTCAGGTTGATTTTTCCTAAGCATATTTGTTGAAACTCATGACAACTGTATTAAAATTGGTTAATGAATGCAAAAACTGTCAGTAAGCAGGGAACTTTCAAACCCTAAGGAAGTTTCCCTTATCGCAGGAGGCTCTTGGTCATTGCCTTTGCTAGCTCTTGGGAGGAATACATTTCTCCTAATAAATCTCTAAATTTGATAGAAAGAGATCGCTAACTGTTAAATTGCTTTGTAAGTTGAACTTGAAAAACTTGTATTTGGATAGAGCCAAATGTGTGGTCCCAGGTCTGGAGACTAATATTGTAGATTGCACTTACAGGTTACAGACAATATTTTTGAATAACACAACCAGTAGAAGGGATGTAAGGGAGGTGTATCTGATGTATGCAGTATTAATGGGCTGTGGTGTGTACATTATGGCTAGGTTGAAGTTCCTAAGACTATTCAGAAATAGTCTTAAGAAGAAGTTTGGAAAAGCTATAGGAATTCATAGTCTGTGAGAGTGTATTATTTCATTTTAGAGATTTAAGAAGCTTGTTCTACTGAGATGTTACTTGAGAAGTTATGAAGATTTGTACTTTAATCCATATGGAAGGAAATTGGTGAGAGCTGATAATAGACATGTTTGGTAACTAACTAATTGAGCAATTTATTTGGGAATTATTTATTCTCTCTGATTCTCTCATTTAATGTGTTTGAATCTCATGAATGGTTTTACTAAAAGATGTGCATTACCTTGGGGAACATGTGTGCTTTTGATGCAAAAAAAATAGGAAAAAGTTTCAGTGATCTTTGGATTTCAATGATCAATTCAATAAAAATTGCAGGAAGCATTGTAACTTCTGCAATTAGCCTTTATTCAAACTACATAAAAATAGGC